CAGCGTTGAGGGAATGCAAGTTGTTAGTTTAGGAATTTGAGTGCTGGAGAGGTTTAAATATTTCAGTTTTTTTGGCCACTCACACACATCTGGTATGTCACCAAAATTATTTAGGCTAATGTCTAAGACAATTAGTTTCCTTAGATGAGACAAACTTTTACCTGTCATTTCTAAGTCACTCAGTGAATTCTGACTTAAATTCAGAGTTTGTAGTGAGGGCCAACCACCTTGACAGGCCGAGTGCTCCAAACTTTGGTCTCCGAGCAAATTCGCACTGAGGTCGAGATACTCTAACGACAGAAGATGTTGCGAAAGGCTGCAAGGTACCAAAAAGACTTTTGTGTTTTCAACCGTGACTTTGGTCAGATGAGACAGTAGACCTTTCACAGCCCGAAGGTCTGTAAACAAATAGAACTCTTCTATGGATAATTTCTCTATTGTCAGAACCCTGAGAGTCTGTGATTGGTTTGCTTGAATTTGCATTTCCCATCGTCCAGTTCCCAAGAGTCTACAGTCCATCATCTGCACCTCCACCAGTTTTGGCATGTCTTCTAAAATGCTGACAATCTCAGGCACAGTAGCATCTGTTACTAGGGCCTGTTTAAAAGAAATTTTCTTTGCCAAAGAAGACGACATGGCTCTCAATAGTTGTATTTCATCAGGTATCTGGAATGCTATTTTTCTCAGTTCTAACCAAATGACAGAGTGAAGAATGTCCCTGACAATTGCTGAGAATACATTAATACTTCTTATGTTTATTATCATGTGATTTATCTTCTTGATTGGTTTCAAACTTCCTGGCTCATATTGACTGAGATTGCTACCGTCGATCCACAACTTATCGAGAAGCTCAATGCCCTCAAAGTTCCCTTGCCTTATCAAGGAGAACTGTGGGTTGCCCAGGTGGAGAGAGCTCAGGTTCCTCAGGCTGGAAAAAGGGGAGCTTCCCCCAAGGTCTCTGTAGGAATTCCCTTGGAGGTGGAGGTGCTGGAGTGAAAAAAGGTGCCCAAACCACACAGGGGACAAGTGAGCCAAGCTGTTCTCTGATAAGTCCAAGAGCTCCAGTTTCCCAAGGGAGCGAAATGAGTCCTCATCTATTGAGCTGATCTCATTGCCCTGCAGCAACAGGGATCTCAGGTTCACAGCGTGCTGCAGATCCTGGGTTCGGATCTGCTTTATCCTGTTGTGGGACAGGTTTAACGCTGTGATTTTGTCAGTGATTCCTGTGGGAATGAAGTCCAAGCCCATGGAAGAGCAGTTGCAAAGCTGAGTGTTATGGCATGAAGGACAAACCTGCTTCAGCTCCTGCTGTTTGGAGAGGTTTGCAGCTAAGACCACGTAGATGGCCCACGCTCGCCAGGTGTGTGTAGTCATTATTTTGCCTAAAATATGAAACACAGTAAGAACAAATATAAAATGATTAGTTAGTTTTGAAGAAGCTACATTTTGGATATAGGTAAAATGTAAACCCTACTATTCTTTTGTGTTGAAGGCACTGTAAATATATTTAACACTGTTCAGAGATGAAACAATTAGTCAAAACAAGGTGCATTGTACACAAATATCCCAGAGTAATTTGCTAAATGCTAAGTACACTGGATTTACTAATGTAAAATATAATGACGTTCACATTTAATACTGAATTCAAGCATATGTCTAATCTCAGTTCTGACAACAGGGAGAAGAGGGCTGCATTTGTTTCAGTCCCTTTCCTCATTTTACCTGCCCTTGGCTATTCTGATGGTAAATGTGCCGGTAGCAGGGAAATAAGTATTTGCCCGGATGTCTGTGTAGGCCATCATCACGTGGCAATCAGTCTGATACTTGCTAACCAAGCTTAAGTTGGGAAAACTGACCATTGTAACCTACTGACTCTTAGTTCTTCCTTTTTAATGCCACATCCTTCTCTTCTGTCAGTGGCTTTTTCTGTTTTGGGTCTCTGTGGCAGAGAGAAGGTCAGGCCCAGGTACAGGGAAGAGCCAGGGGCTTTTGGAGGCTCCTGCAAATCAGCTGGCTGGACTAGATCAGCTTTTTCCAGCCCCACAGCCTGTTCCTCATCTTCTGGACCAAAATTGTTCAAGAGAAGCCACACAGCTGGGGATCCTGTGTCACTTCTCTTTGGTCTCACAGCCATGTCTTTCATAGTACTGATTTGAGGTGGCTTTTTGTGTTACAGAGCTTGCTGCAATATCCAGTCCATCCTTACTTCCAACAAGGTGACTTTTGAAGCCCGAGAGGGCTGTTTTCCCTTCAAAACCCTTATAGCATATTGAATTATAACCCTTTTTTTGTTTATCCTTTCCTGACAAGGATCAAAGGGCACTTTTAAAGTACAACTTTCCCTAGCATTTACATTTCCCCCTTACCTCATTAAGCACCTTACTGAGGGTGAAAAGAGTGAACCAACCCCAAAAAGGCCAATGAACAGGTTTCCAAAGACCAACGTGGGCTCTGTGTCTGGTTAATTGGGTTAGGTTGGCTCACTGAGGAGTACTTTCTCCTTCATTCATCACACTGAGACTATGCAGAAGATCAACGGTACTTTGCATTCATACTCTAATTTGTTTTACAACAGCTGACCCACGCAGACAAGTTCATACAGACAAGTCCTACCCTTCTAGTTGCATCATTTTTAGCCAGAGTTGCTTAAAATTATTCAAAAGGGACAGGATTAGCTGGGATTGTTCGGGCATATGGGGAGAGGAAGAAAAGTTTGGATTATTTTTTCAATCACTTCATCTCCTCCCACCTGAAGGACTATAAAGATTTTGACCTCTTGTGTTGTTTGCCTTTAATCTCTTTCTCACTCTGATGTAGAGTTTTAGGTCATGGAGGACACATTCCTGTCCCCTGTCTTTCGATGCCCACAGCTGAGCCGGTCACCCACTATCTCCTCCAACATCAGTGGAGAGGAATAATAACCTTCAGGGGCAATTCACATCACGTCTCTTAGACATTTACAGTAAGATGGGAAGACTCCAAGAGAAATTACCCCATCAACTTAAATTGGAGCACCAAAGTTTAGACACCCAGAGATTTATGCATGTGAATCAATAAAACCAGGACTGAATCCCACCCAAAGAACTGCGATCTGTTGTCGCACTCACCTGCTGTCCAGCTGAGGCTCTTTCACAGGGATTTTTGGTCTGGCAAGATTGGCTGGATAACACAGTGCTGTAGGCCATAGGAGCAAAGCTATGAGTAAGAGGAGTATCACAAACAACAGATTTAAGTGAGATTTTTGAAGTTGCTATTAAAATGCTTACTGTTAGAAAAAGAAACAACCAAGCAAACTGATGAAAGTCTGTCTACAGGTAGGTTATTTACAGATGGAAAATTGGCAGCACAGAAGGGAACTGGGCAGGTACTTGTATTTATGCTGGAAATACAAGCTAAGCTTAATGGCTCTCCACCTTACCAGCCTGAACCAACCAGGGACTGCAGGACTGAACCTTATTTGCTGGTACAGGATGCTTTCCTGAGCATCTTTTCCAGGGTTTTTTGCTCATCTGTAATATGAGCAGATGCTCAGGGAAATCCCATTCCCACACACATTCATTTTCAGCCATTCTCTTTCCATTCCTAATAATTCAGCTTCAGACCCTGACTTACAGGGTCATTTCAGGTCTCTCTGCACCCACTCACAAATACAGGCCCACTCCATGATACCATTTCCATACCAAGGAATTACTTTTCCCTGTTGCACTGGGAAGAAAGAAAAGCTGCATAGAAATTGAAATGCAGCTAATAATATAGAAACTTGCACAAATGCCCTTACACCATAAACCAATGTGATGAGCTACACTTTCAAAGTGTTTCTGTGTTATGGGCAAAGGGTATGAGCCATGCAACATGCTCAGGATTACCTTTCCTGGCCCAGGTCAGTAGAAGTATTTGAGGAAATATATGCGTATTCATAAACAAAACCATGAATGCCAACAGAACAAGGTTCTAGAAATGCTAACAAATGCTAGAGGCTAATTTAGCTGCTAAAATAAAGTGCACCAATAGACTGGGAAAAGCTGCTGCTTCCCACTTGGTGTGTGCGGGTTACACATGTCCTGACTATCGCTCACCAGCATTGCCTTAATAGCATGGATGTGTATACACACACACACACACACATATATATAGGCATGACTCTTTCTTATTTCTGACACAGAGGATGTGCAGCAGGGCAGAGGTAGGTGTGGAGAGAGCTGATCCTGCTGCCCCGAGACCACTGCTGAAGGAGCATTTTTCCTGGTTGAATTCCTAACACAAATGCAGGCCACCTTCACGCCCAGCCTTGCCTGGACAGCTGGTATCGACACACAAGTGAGAAAACATCCAAACAGGATGAAACACGCACAAGGCACCCTCCCAGGAGGAAACCAAGCAGAAATGTCAGTGTCTGACCCAACCTGACTGTTGCTGCTTTCCTCTCTCCCCTCTCCTCCAGGACATTGCACCCACCAGCATGTTCCAGCTCTCCCATGGAGCCTTCCTTTAGGTTTTAAACTAAATTTCTCGGCCTAGCAAAGTGAATGCTCATGTTCATGACTTCTAGGTAGGTACTTCTACAACTTCAAGATAGTAATTGGACAGAATCACTCAGCCTTTTCCAGCCAGTGTGACTTCCTTTAGGTTTTAAACTAAATTTCTCAGCCTAGCAAAGTGAATGCTCATGTTCGTGACTTCTAGGCAGGTACTTCTACAACTTCAAGACAGTCATTGAACAGAATCACTCAGCCTTTTCCAGCCAGTGTGTCTTTTTATTTCTGAAACTGAACTACCTCTATTTTTCAATTTGTCTTTCCTGCTGCCAGCATCACTGTTGTGCTGTCTTCCTTTTGCTGCCTGCCACGCCACCCTACTAGCTGCCTGTGATTGCCTCTGCCTGCTCCTCTTCTGCTGGCAGCCAAAAATCCCTCCTCACTTTGCACTCCTGCAGGAGCTGGCCCCTGCCCGGCAGCCCCAAGCACCCCGAACCCCCCATGCAGAGGAGAAGGACTCAGTGGCAGAGATTAGACATCCTCTTCCCAGTGCTCCCACCTTGATTCTTGCTCTGGCGTGGCATCTCCAGCTCCACCCGCCTGCAAACTCACCTCTGTGAAGAGAGACTCTTGGGGATGTCCACACCAGCTTGGGTGCCTGTTAACCCACGTCATGTTTCATCTCTTGCTGAGTGCTCTTAACCCAACTTCCTTCCATGCTGCTGCTTCCTTCCCGCTTCACCTCTCCGCCTTGGCAGTGTGAACAGGGGAATTTCCACCTGGTGGCTCTGATCGGCACAAGAGCAATAACACTGTTGTTCCTTCTCAATGCGCCAAACCATAAAAGTCAAGGGTTATGGTAAGAGCATGCTGCGTAAAAGCCAAAGCTTCTCCTACCTCTCTCTCTGATCCTCTTTTTGAAATGACCAGCAAGACATATTTTCCTCTTTACCTTTAGGCATTTGGTCTCCTAATCCATTTTATCAGTGCTCGGTGTTTGCTATCAGGTTATTCACTCTTCACTTGCCTGGAGTTCAGCCTTGATTAGCCCTTGGGCTATTCTTAGCTGAGACGGTGAACAGAAAAACCCTTTTGTAGCAGACTTTGGACTAACCCTAGAGATATAATTATCACAGGAAAGTAGAACTGAAAGTGGTGTTTGGAGGCTACACCCACAGAAGCTATCACCTTGTGTTGTATATATATGTATACACATACAGGAGTGTGAATATATACATAGGTGTGTACACAGATATATACATACATGAATATGTACACATATAACTACACAGAGACACATGCAAAAGCAAATTTCCCCATTTTCCAAATACTCAGTTCATGTGCCAATGCTTTGGTATTTCACCACAAAATAACTGCATGTATAAAATTTAATCAAGAGTCATTTAGAGTCTCCGGTATGTAAGCCCCAGCAACACAAGCAAAGTGCAGCACAGAAGTGTCGCGTTAGTGAATCCCACACCTGACTTTATCCCCTCAGAGGCTGTTTAAGGTTTCCAAAAGAATACCCAAAAGTACAAAAAAACCCACAACAGCTGTGACTCCAGGCAGTCCAGGTGGGACCAGCTCCCTGAATATAAACATCTGTATCTACCTGCTTGTCCAGATTCCCTTGGTAAGTGGTGAGGGGCAACACAGTACTTCTAGGAGATACCTCATACTGAAGCAGAAAGGTGGATTGCCTCTTCTCAGTGTGATTTTCTGCACTGGTTATGAAGGAAGCTATGTACAGCTGTAAGGGATGCATTACTCAACGATTACTTAACTGTGCTATGCAAGATACAAAAGCAGAAAGAAGTGAGCCAGTTTGCAACACCATATACACCACTCAACAGAAACACAGTCCTACAGACAGAAGTCTTCAGCTATTTCTGTGGGTAG